TTTCCTTCCCAAATTGATTCTTAAGCAATTTCATATTAAGAAAAGTTAACTTTATGAGTTTCTTATGAGACTATTGTACAAAATGTCGATAATAATAATAATAATATGTCTTAGTTTAAATAGGCGATTAATTGTATATCTTGAAAAATTAAGTACATAAAACTCAAATGTGTTTTGTCCATTATTAGCAAAGCTACTCCATCTCTTTGGCTAATCACTTCGTCTTGGCCAAAAGGTCGAGAAAGATATATCTCTCTAGCTAATCACGAATCCTACTATATTGTGCTGGTCATTGTGTTATGTGTAGTTACGAAACAATTGATCCCAATAAATCAAGTTATTCGAACTCAATATTAGTTAAACTGGATTCCTGTACCGATCAGTCGAACTTGTCTACCTATTGTCAAATCATCGTAACTTGGAATTTTAACGAAATCGCCATAAACATACTTCGAGAGCTGTTTTTTTTTCTCCGTCCACGTCCGCACTCGTTTCTAGTTCCATCCATATCAATTCCTTTTTAATTCATTTAATAAATGAAGAAAACTAGTTTTTTGAGTTCAACGAATTAATAACGTAATTGTGATTCCTAAGTACTAACAAATTCCTACGACCCGACACGTTTTGTGAACCCCATTCGTACGTACGCATGGCCCTTTGCTGCCGGTGTCGCTTTAATCCATTCGTGAGAAATTTCATGGAAATTGAGCAAATTCCCTTTTATGCAGCCCAAAAGGTTAGTTCACAAAACTATTTAATTTATTTTAGTTCCTTTTTTATTTTATTTTTTTATTTTCAGAATTTGTGTGTACTTTCTGACTTAGCTTTGGAGCATCAAACCAAAGCAAACCCACACCGTCTTTGACCACATATATAATAGCATTTGTTTAAGGAGCGTACCAATTGTTGGCTATTAAAAAGACTAGTGCTAATTGTATATATATAACCGATTATATTAATTAAATATCCTCTATTAGAAAGAAGAAGAAACATTCATAGTGTCTAGCTAACTAGCTTGCTTGAAGATATCTTAAATAAAATATTTAGAGTCCGCTGAAAGAACCATGACGAGATTATTACTTTCATCCATTATTTGGCTCGACCTTCACAACCCCACATTTGTTACCACAACCACGAGAAAGTAGCCCAATCCACCAGAAGACGCGAGGCCTTGAGTGTAGCATTCTAGTTTAGTAGTGACACTTGTTGATTGGGTGATTAGCATGGTCGATCGCGTTAGAGTCAACTTGAGTTGTTTGTAGAATAAACATGTCCACCTTAGCGGAACATTAGGGTCCAAATATGTTAGATATTGGCCGAAATAACAATATTAGAAAATAAAAAAGGGAATTAGCTAGGGCCTAGGAGAATAGATTGTGTCAAGTGCGTCATAATTCAAAATTGTCCTCTCAATAATTGGAAGGTAAAACCATTCTAATCAAATGATTCCAACACATTAATTAACTACATAAACATAAACCACACACTACCATACTATTGTTCATCATTACTTAATCACTTATATACATAAACTTAAACCTCAAAATCACAATACCACCATACTAAAGACCCTCTAGTTCTGCTTCTGCAGAAGGTGCCAAGAATTGGCTTTTTTTTTCCTCCTCGTGTCGTCCTTTTTTTTTTTCTTCTTTCAAAATGTTATGAATATATAGTAATTTACAATCCACCATGTGCAGTCTCTTTCATAATAATTGTAAAAAAAAAAATGGATTATATATACAAGTAGCTTAGCTAGTTTATTATCCTTCACCAAGATTGGTCGATATATATACATCGTTTTTCCCCTCCTCTTGCTAGCAATAATAATCCAAAACCCAGAATAAACATTGGGATTTCGACTCACTAAAATTGTGACTCAAGAACGCCCACACAGGCGCCTAATTAAAATCCAACTTACAAGAAGATGAGATTTTGGTGGGCAATTATTAGTCTCCATTTTCCACCCACCAGCCAAGGATATTGAGAATTCAGACCTTGTTTGATTTTGATTTTTGCATGAATAGCAGTATTAATGAGTCGGCTGGCTGGCTGGCTGGTTCTTCTTCTTCTTCTTCTTCTTTCATTAAATATGGACGTAAAGTCCAGCTGCATGCCAACCAAGCAATCCACCATGCACGCGTGTGCCAACAAATTCAATTCATCGACCCTGCAAAATCAGAGATGGGCCTGGTGGTGGACTTCAGTTTTTAATTCATATATTGATATTGGTCTTAAGAAGAAGAAAAAACAATCATGATATTATAGCAATTATGTATTATGGAGTTCAGTTTTGAGTTCTGACTTAATAAGGCCAATCTGAACTCTAAAGGAAGAAGGGTTGATGTTGTGGTGATCCCACTTTGTCACTTATGAATCACTTTTTATCCCCCCCATCAAAACAATCGATAGAATACAGGGTATTTTATTACAAATATATTAGATATATGAGTAATTCAAACAAAAAAAAAAAATCAGCAAAAAATTAAATATTAAAATTAGAAAGAAAAATGACAGCAGGCAGGCTAATTTGGTTGAAAGTCCAGGTTATATTTGGCACCGGTCCTGAGATTTTGGAGTTCATGTTCTATAAAGAGTGACAATGATTTAAATAGAATGATGTAATTAAAAAAATCGATATTTGAGAGATAGAATCAAAAGAATCCCAATAGTAACTAAACTGACAATGAATAAATTAACTAGACTCACATGAATAGGTTATGGGAATTAATTGAGTAGAAGATGAAAAAAGTTTTAGTAGAATCAAATAATGTAAACAAATATTAGAGTAAACTAAATTAGATAGGAGAAACTTATAATTTTTTTTAGTATTACTGCCTTGCTAATACAAGCAGATTAATTGACAAAATTGAATTCTTTTTCCCCCTTGAAAAGCTGAAATGAAGAAAGTTAAAGCAATAAATATAAAATGCTAATAATGAGACATCAACAATCTTACCTCTTTTATTCTATTTAGGAAACATATGACAAAAAATGAGTTTTGTCATATGGTTTGTAAAAAGTCTAATAAGAAAGCAAGTATTTCTTTCATGTGATCCGTTCGTTCCTTTTGGACTTCAATTTTTTATATTATTGTTTTAGACCCATAATCAAAATCCGTTTTAAATTCATAATAATAAAACTTAATAGTTCGTAATAGTAATTAGTCATATACATGATTGAGGTCCCTAAGCACCATAATTTGAAGGCCCTATGCCGGAGGGCCTGCTGGCACACCCCAGAGACAACCCTAGAATTGGGTTAAAGCTAAGTCATATTAGAATAATGGAGAACTGTCTTTCTGGTCTGCTTCAGAAAACTTACGGTCAGTTTTGAGTTTTCTAGTATGTTTTTTGAGTTTTACGGTGTGCTTTTGGTATGCTTTATGAGCTTTATGGTCTACATTATGTGTTTTATGGTGTGATTTATTGTGTTTTTGGTATGAGTTTTATGTCTTTATGATATGTTTGTTTCACATGCATGTTTCTGTGATAATTTTAAAAAATGACAAGCGTACCCTCTCTTTAAAAATCAACATTAAATTGTGGTAAACTCTTTCAACATTAAAAGTGAGATAAATGAAAACTTCTTATTAGGTGAGGTTAGTGTTAGCACCATACTTATAAATTAGGTGTTAGCACTCTAACATCACCCGAATTTGAGAGAGAGCCATTGATCTTGTCTTCACAATCTTTTATCAAACCCAGGAATAAAGACATATGTGGAGTATGGATGACAATTAAACCAAAACCCATGGGTACCCAACCCGATCACAACGGATAAAATGTGGATTTGCCAAATCCGACCCGCTTCTCCCCCTACCCATACTCACAAAGTCAAACAATATCGTTTTGCATCTAACCTTAATAATATGGGTAATGTGTAGATGTTATCAGTTTTTATATAAATATATTTATAAGAATATGAATGTTATTAGTTTCCATGAAGATATATTTGTAAGAAAATTTATAATATTACAACTTGGGAATTCGAATTAATTATTTGCAGTTATACCAATGTACCCATAGGTGTTTAGAGAAATTCAATTCAACCCGATCCATTATTGTGAGAAACTTCCCAAACAGTGGCAGTAGTGGCTAGGGGTGGGTGGGCATTGGGTGGGTCGGGTGGATTTTGACCATAAAATGCACCCACCCGCGCTTAAACGGATTGATAATTTTTAACCCACCACCCATCCACATTTAGTCTCGGGTTGGGTCGGGCGGATGGTGGATGATGCGGGTGGGTTTGTGGGTTCACCTACATCACAATGTATATAATATAAAGGAGTCAACTTGACATGATAATAGGTGAAGAGAATCATCGAGGGAAACAAGAAGTTGAAATAGGGGGAAAATGTTGAATTAGTTCTTAAATTGGATAGAAATTCTATTATGAAAGAGTTTTCTACAGATTGAGACGATTATTAGGTGCAATGAACTAATGAAAATAATTCCACAAAGGAAAGAGCGGTGATCTAGCCACAAGAATTAGAGGGAAAAGTAAAGGGAAGAAGAGGGGATCTCTATTTGGAAGGTTGGCTTCGAGGTTCAAACTCCAGGACCAGTCCGAGTTTATATCTAACGTCTCCACTCTCCTCTCTCTAGCGCCAACGACTTTGATCTTTTTGCTGTTGGGTTGAGCGGGTCACCCGCACACTCACTCACAACCCACCCACCACCCGGCGGATGGCTCCCAGCGCAACCCGTCACCCACCCACAAACCCACCCACTTAACGAAATTCGGGTCAAATGCGGGTGGGTCGGCCCTAACCCACGGATGATCCGCCCACATGCCCAGCCCTAGTAGTGGCAGATCCAGCCATTCCAAAGCGATCAGCCCACAAATCCCATATATGAATTCATCCCTCATCTTTGGGTAAATACTTTGACATAAGCCCACAAAGCTTGGAGGCCCAATCCTCCCCCCATAACAAGAATAAAGCCCAACCTCTCCATCCTCCCTTTTATTCCTTCTTAAATCATGTTTACTAAAGGTTTTGACTGTTTTACTTGATGCAAAAGTCATGAAAAATATATTAGAGGTCCCTAATCTTCTCCTATTTCCCCAAAACACCCCCGACTGAAATAAGAGAAGAAAACCCCATCTTAGCATCAGCCTTAAACCATCGCTCCCAGTTCTCTTTCTAGCTCGCCCCACTCCGCGCAAGAACGACTGGTAGCGGCGAGACGAGCAATCGCCGTAACTCGATCTTCCCCTCCGCCATCGCCATCTTCGTTTTCTCCTCCTCGCTCTTCCAGAGGTAGACCTCTTTGCTTCAGTTTCAATCTCAATTTCTGCTCTCCGTTTCCAGTAGCCTCGTTTCACTGATTCCTTCGGTCTTGTATCGAGTCAGTCCCCGCCAGATCTCGTTCGATTCCTTCGCTCTCCTCTCGAATTTCTCGTTCTTCCGATTACCGATTGATTGCTTGTGGTTTGAGCTTGTTTTAGTTTGCGATTTTGTGCGGCGGACGATTTTATCGTCCCTGTTGATGCGGTCAATTAGGGTTTTGGTTGTGGTTTTGAGCTGCCTATGCGTCCTTGTTTGGTGTTGGATTTCTTGGATCTTCTACGCAGATCATCTTGTTTGTTGATTTACCTTGCGGTTTGGGGGACTGTCTAATTGATTGAGCATTTTTCCTGGCGTGGTTTCAGGTTTTAGTTTGTTGAACCAATGGCGTCCAAATTGCATCAGTTGAAATCCAAGGCTTGCCAAGCTACTCAGTTCGTAACCAAGCATGGCACCACCTACTACAAGCAGTTATTGGAGCAGAACAAGCAGTACATTCAGCAACCTGCTACTGTTGAGAAGTGCAATGAATTGTCCAAGCAATTGCTCTACACTCGACTAGCCAGGTCTGCTTTTCTTCCGCCCCTTGTTATGTTGGGTTTCAATTGCGTTGATATTTGTCCCACTGCTGTTTGTTTCTGCTGGCAATAGTGGGTTGTGAATTGATAACATGTAGGATGGTATGCGCATGTAGTGTGATCCCTCTGTGGGTTTTAGATAGCGCAATCTGATGGCAATAACGCGGTTGGTCTTGTTGTATCCTTAATGCCATATTGATCTTGTTATGGATCTCAATTCTCTACACAAGTTCACTGAAGAATTGGTCTATGGTCGTTTGCATATCTTCTGCCATTTTGTTAAGCCATTGAGACTGTTTTGCTAAGATACTGCTGCTGACAAGTGTTGAATTTATATAGTCTTCTTCCCCACATTGACTATCACTTCATGTTCTTGTGGACCATCTGTTAACTTCACTGACACCAAGTGAATTAATGGTTTGATGGTGCTACTTTCAGATTATTGATTTGTTTGAATCAAGCACTTAGATTGTTAATTTGACACCTAATTGAATAGTCAGCTAAAACCCTTAAGTCGCACTTTCCTGATCTTAGTTGAGTACAATATCATGGCTCATGTTATCAAGAGTCGAAATTTCCGATTTACATATGACTCATTGAAATAGTGCTTACCAGATGAGAAACTAATCCTTGTGTCTTTGTGATGTTTGATAAAATAACATTTGCCTACTTTGGTTATGAGCTTAGCCATTGTAAAATTGTAAGAAGGGAATGAGCTAACCTATTGTTAATAGATCACAACTTGTAAAGTAATGGGTGCTGAACACTCCATTTTCTGCCAACTGCGACTAGTTCAGTGAGGTGGGTTGATCTTGTTATCTGTATGTTTGACATGTGTTGGGTTCTTCTCTTTGAAACAGTATCCCCCAGCGAAATGAAGCATTCTGGAAGGAACTTGACTACGTGAAGAACTTATGGAAGAAGAGGCAGGACTTGAAGGTCGAGGATGCTGGCATTGCTACGCTGTTTGGACTCGAGTGCTTCGCTTGGTATTGCGCTGGTGAAATCGTTGGGAGGGGATTCACCTTCACCGGCTACTACCCTTGAGAGAGATGATAACCCCACGTTGTTGAACGGTTTGTTCGGAGAGTTAAGCTTCGGTTGTCATCTGCGTCATTGAAACGTACTGCTGGCACTTTACTACTCGCAGATTTTACTTTCCTTTACTTCTCCTGCAATTTTTTTGAAACCCCGAGACACCAGTGGTTGCTTGTGCGGCCCCAATAATTTGATAGGTCGAAGCTGATTTAGGAGTTCTGCTCGTTGGTTTCATTTCTCTGTCCATTAAGATCACTACTGTTTCTCTCATGGAATGATTGATAAATTTCTCAACTGTTCAGTTAAGTTCAGTTCGACGCTCGATGTCCTGGATCTTGTATCCAGCGTGCTCACTTCCCCTGTTGAAATTCTTTGTTAGAACGTGAAAGCATGGTATGTCTCTTTATTGTAGGTCACATCAGAATGGTCATGATTTAGTCCAAGGTTGTGTTCTCTATCGAACCAGTTTAATGGTATGAACCGATTTGACAAATCTGACAGTGTTGACCTTCCTGCCTCTGCTACCACGGGCCATATGGCTGGATGGACCAGGAAATTTAGGAATTCTGGCCGTGCAAAATGGGCCCATGATCCGAGATCCCAAGTCCAGTGACGAATCACAATGGAGCAGGCCGGAGGGATGGATCGGGCTGCCACGTGGCTTCCTGACTCCAAATAATTGTTGGGACGCAATTGGCTGTGCGCCTGTGACCACGTCATCGCCCCTGCCACGAGGGACGGCGAGAACGGAACAGATCGACGGAATAACCGCCAAGGAAACGCGCAGACTCGCAAATCAAAACGGAAAAAACAAACAAACGCAAGGAAGGAGAGGAGCGAAGGGGCCGAGGCAGGCGAAGGAAGCTGAACGAGCTGCAGCTAAGGAAGGAGAAGAGAAGCAAGAATGCCATTAGTTGGTGCTGCTCCTGCTCCGATGAGGAACCGCCTCGCCGCCGCAGCAGCATTCTTCTTCACGTTCCTCTTCCTCTTCGTCCTCGCCTCTTCCTCCCCGGCCGGCAGTCGCGACGGCCCCCAGGTAACCTCTCTCTCAGATCCCCCGCCCCACTGCCTGGATCTCGCTTTCGCTTTCTCTTCTTCTTTCACTAATCGATTCAGTTCCTCCGCTGGCTGGCCCGCCGCATTGATTCCGCCGCCGCGAATTTGCTCTGGCAGCCGATATGCAGCAGAACTTGTGTCACGGAGAATTGTGATAGTACGTGTGAACTCTGCCGTATTCTCATTGTCTTTGGTTACTTAGGAAGAAGAATTTCATGTAACCTCTTGTTCGATTTCCAGCCTTTGGGATACGGTACGGGAAGTACTGCGGCGTAGGTTGGACTGGCTGCCCCGGCGAGAAGCCGTGCGACGAGGTTGACGCGTGCTGCAAGGTTCACGACGATTGCGTTGGAAAGAAAGGTTTGCCGTTACTGCTTGATTTCAGTTTTTCAGAGTGACTTTGGATGTGGAAAATCCATATAAACTGCCGGCCTCTTTATGTATTAGGTATGACAAACGTGAAGTGCCACCAGAAGTTCAAAACGTGTGTGAAGAAAGTGCAGAAATCAGGGAAATTAGGGTTCTCCAAGGAGTGTCCATACGAGAAGGTCGTCCCTACCATGGTGCAAGGTATGGATATGGCCATCATGTTGAGCCAGTTCGGTAACGCAAACGTTGAGCTCTGATTGGATTGTAGTTCCCTTCCTCTCTCGTATTGTTCCAATTTTAGCGAATGTCTCTCTGATTGGATTCTCCCCTAAATATGGGGAACTGTTGGACTGAATTCCCTCAACCAATTATTTGAACCCTTGGCGGTTCCTTGTAACTTTGCTGGTGTATATGAATACAAGATTAGAACCTGAAGAGATGTTCCACTTAATCATCGGCTCTCATCTTTTCTGGCATCTGCAAGTCTGCAACTTGTCTGTTTTGAGTATTATGGATGGATCATAGCTTGAGAAGCTTGTACCTTGTTCTTACAGCCACTGGTGTTTGTGCTTTATTGATTTTGTGTAGAATGGCAAATGATAGTTGGGTTCTTATGCCTGCCCAGTGCCTTGCTGTAGTTAGGTTAGCAATGCTAATTCTTCCATAAGGATTAAGGAAAGTATATAAAGAGGCAACTGTCACATCAAGTTCTCTTGCATCAGCTGTCAAGGTGTATATAGTTTGCATTAGTTCCAAGGTGCATCAAACTCCTCATATGAAGTAGGATCATTGAACTCAGGTAGATGTAGACAGTTTGGTTTCGTTCAGAGGAGAGTGGAGGGATCTGTAAGAAGCCATGGTGGGAGTAGGTCGCTGTGAATAGTACTGTAGGTAAACTTGTTCTGGAGGTGTTCTAGCTCGAGCGTGCCCTTTTCACATGCTTTTAGGTAGTGAATGGTGCATTTGCGTGTGGCCGAGAGTTTTTTTGTGCAGTGGAGAAAACAGGAATCGCTGGATGGCGAACTGATGATGAGGATGTGTGTGGTTCGTGTCGTTTCTAGCGAATCGACTCGTGATGGTGAATACACGGAGGAATGATGGGAGTGGAGTATCAGTAAGGTAATATTCTTTCCACGTCCAGAGTGTTCTCTGTGCAAAATGATATAGTTGTTTAGGACAGGGTAATGAAGCCTATAATATGCATTGAGTGTGACAAGAATTCATGGAAGAAGTATTTAGCACGAAGTCGAGACAAATTGGGATTATTTTGCTAGGGAAAGTTCCAGTGTTATTATCTTTTTGTCGTACATTCTGTTCTGTTGCGGTTAGAGGTTTTCCTGCAAGACAAGCAAAACTGCAACAAAATTTCCTCTCGTATTTGCAGAAAAGGTGCTTGCTTGTTATTTTAGACCACCCACAGCGTGGGTTGGTTTTGTGGGAAAAAGGGGAAATGTGACCACAATGTGGGGGGAATAGGGGATTAAATGGGTTTTGTGGGTTTAGTGGGTGAGAAAACCCACCAGATGAGACAAATGGTGGGGGGTAAGGGGAAGGGGTGGGGCCCACTTCAGTTTGTTTTTTATTTTATTTTTTATTATTATTTTAATGCTTTAGTGTTTGTTTTTAGGGTTTAGTGTTTATTTGTTTGCTTTTATTTCTTCTTAATTATGTTTATGTTCAACTATCAATGTAACAACTTTCTTGTATAAATTATTGCGATTTCGTCATTAATGACGTTAATTAGTGATGAAAAAAATTATGTCCAAATTAGAAAAAAAATTTTATATCAAAATGTTCGTATTCATTAATTATCACTAACTATGTAAAAATAATGATCATTATATAAAAATAAAGTGTTGAAATCAACTATAAATTGATTTTTCGAAAAAAAGTGTTCAACCAATTACCCATTTTTCTCACACCAACATTGTGACCAAACCCTCTCATTTTCCCCCTTTTCCCTCTTTTTCCACCTTTCCCACCCTCCCACATTGTGGATGGTCTTAGAATCACAACTTCTCAGTGGACGTTATTGTTGGCTTGCAAAGCAATTAAAAAGGAAAAGACAAAAGGAGGACGCAAAGCTTAATCAGTTCAGTACACTCAAAATTTGAGTGTCGTGCTAAGGCAGATCGGTGGGAGCATTCGTTGATACTGTTGGATTGTTTTTTTATTAGATTTCCAATAATTTGGACGGATTTCGATAAATATTTCTGTAGATAGTGTCGTCACAGTAATCCAACAAGTGAAATCACGCAAGGAAAATCAAACAACAATATCATGATGCTGAACATTTCTCTTTTTTTCTTCCTTTGCCTTTTAGGGTTTTATGGGGTTTTCTATAGTTGAAACGGCAGTGGAAGGTTCTTCCCAAGAGTTGTCTGCCATTCCAGTTTCTTTGTTGTCCGTTGAGAATTGTTTCACAACTTGTCGGCTACCAGAACCTTTTTGTAAATTTCTCACCTGCAAAACGGGGCCGGCCAGGTGCCAGGTGGGTTTGAAATGGAAGCTCAAAGACAAGGTGAGGTGTTGGGGAAGGAAGAGTCCAATTAGAGGGAGAGAGATGTCATTTTCCAGCTTCTACAATCGTCACACAGTGAAAGTAGGAAACAAGAGCGCAATGACACGGTTTGGCTTTCTCGTTATGCTGACGACGACGATCTGTCGACAACGGGAAGCGGCCCCAGAAGACGAGCACAAAATTTGATGACGCGGAAGCTTAACAAAATCCTCAGGCGCCGACGTTGACCTTCGAACTGTGTTGCGGGGCCTTGTTCCTTCTGGTCAATTCCCGTTGTATTATTTATTATATCATATCTAGCAAAAGATAATATAGTATAGATCGGATTTTGTATTATGCTTAAATTTGTTTATAAGTGTTTGATGTTGTTGGATTTGATATCAACGATTTAATGATATCGAGTGTGTTGAATGTAAACGGTGATATTTGTTAATGGAAGCCATTTTAGGACCAATCGGTGCATCCGATCTTTTTGGTCGGGATTTGATATGGTTCAAATGTCAATTTGGTTAATTTTTCTTCAATATTTATACAATTCATGGGATCAAACACTACCATATTATATTCAGTTCGATATGGTCCGATACAGTCCGGTACAGACCAACTCGTCGCTCATCCCTAGTTAGTTGTAGTATATCCTCACCTTTCTCAAAATTAGGCATGTGCAACGGTGTAGATCAAGTCGACAAATGGACCGGACCAATCTCGGGCCGAACAGAATGCAACCCGATCTTTAACATTTGATCCCAAGAATTTTATAATATTGAAAAGATAGATCAATTTGATAAAACGAATTAAGTCGAACCGGACGTTATGATCTGCGGTTGTTCTAAAATGTTTTACTATTTAGCCCCATCTCTTCTGATCCCATCCGTTAAAGCAGATCGATTAAAAAGGTTCATCCCTCAAACACATGATTAGGTTATCCTGCTATCGCCCGCACCCAATTTTGGCCCGCTCGCCGTTTAGCTAACTTAATCACCCCAATTAACAAAATAGACTTTTCACGTTCGCATTACATTTTCCCGGAAATTTCAATCATTTTCTCCCTTCCCTTCCCTGCCCCTTCCAATTCTTCTTCTCAGAATTAAGAATCTCCCCTCGTATCTCTCTCTCTTCCCGCGGATCGAAATCCATCTCCATCTCCGACTTCTTCTCCCTCCCCACCTTCCTATCTCCAAGTTAAGAATCAAAGAGATACAACGTAATCGGCAGTAATCGGCGATCACACCTTCTGTTGTTTGCCGCCGCGGCCTGCTTATTGGACCGAGCTATGCTTCACAGGAGCTTCAAACCGGCAAAATGGTGAGCTCTCGCTTCGGCTTGTTCAGTTGATTGTTCTATCTTTCAGGACCGACGAGAATATATGAGTTCTCTCTGTTAATCTCTGTTCCCGGGAAGGGAATTTCGATGGAGGATTTCGCGATTGTAACCGCGTTTGATCTTGGTTTTGATTTTGAGTTGGGTTTGATTTTGACTTGTTGCTCGTTGCAGCAAGACGTCATTGAAGATGGCGTCTTCCCGCATCAAGCTGCTGAGGAACAAGAGAGAAGTGCAGTTGAGGCAGTTGAAGAGAGAAGTTGCTCAATTGCTCGCCGCCGGCAACTACCGGACTGCCAGGATCCGAGTACTGCCCTCTCTTTCATACTTGTTTGTTAATTCTTCCAGTTCGGTCACCGTTGTATTGGAGTTTGTAATATTCGGATTTCTAGTTCTTTTGGCTATCCCTTTTGGGTTTTCTTTTTCTTTTCCCCCCTGTGTCGAGAAATCCGTGATATGGTTCTACTTCATGGTTGTCTGGTGGACATGGTTGGATGCTGATATTCGGGTAGGGTTTGGCTTCTGGACCGGTGACTTGGTTGATCGTGTTGCGGAATTGAGAGGGTTTTGTGACAGTTGGTAGCAATTTCAGCTTATTGGCTGCCTATAGGATGATGGGTTCTTGTTGCTGGTTCACTTCTACCATTCTGACACGAAATCTCTTGATTGGATGTGATGATGTAATCTTTTCCGGAGATGAATCTGGTTATTGCTGAACTGCTGTTGATTCCTGCTTTTGCTGTTTTTGGCTTACAGGTGGAACATGTAGTCAGGGAAGAGAAGACAGTGGCGGCTTATGATCTTATTGAGATATACTGCGAGCTGATTGTTGCCCGTTTGTCCATGATTGAGTCACAAAAGTATGTATTCCTTCTGTGTAATTCCAGAAACTAGTTAGTGTTTACTGTTTTTGGGATCATATTAATATTATGAATGCTTTACCCTTTTGTGGGCACTGTGATAAAGAACGTTTGATTAAGTCTGCTGGGCTTGTGATCTATGGTCTCAATTTCAGTGATCTTCATTGCTGTTGGCTTTTTCTAATTCACATATTCTGATGGATATGCAACATATGAAAGTTACTTTGTCAGTAACGTTCATGGTTTTCTTACCTCTTTGCTATTTTTTTTTTTTTTTTTTTGCAGACTCTGCCCAGTTGACTTGAAGGAAGCAGTCTCTAGTGTTGTTTTTGCATCCCCTAGATGTGCAGACTTGCCGGAGTTGGCAGATGTTAAAAAGCATTTTAAAGCAAAATATGGAAAGGAATTTGTTTCTGCTGCAGTTGAATTACATCCAAACTGTGGGGTGAGCCGCTTGGTAAGTCAGTCTAGGTCATTTCCTATGCGTGGTTTTTTGGTTTGGGCAATTGTGATAACAGTCCTTTACTTTGCTTGTGTATCCTATTTTAGCTCGTGGAGAAACTGTCTGCAAAAGCACCTGATGGCCCTGAAAAGATGAAAATCTTGAGTGCAATTGCCGAGGAACAAAATGTTAAATGGGATCCCAAATTGTTTGAGGACGTTGTCAAGCCTCATGAGGACTTGCTTGTAAGTGTTGAAAGTTCAGCAATTTGTTCCTCCTTTTCTTTTATTCTCCAAGTAGTCGGTAGTTACTAATATCTGCATCTTGTTAAATTTTTTGAGCAGAACGGACCTGCTACATTTCAACCAGCTAGCACAGTGCATGCCCAAACTCATAATGTAGACCCACCTCAGAATTTCAACAGGAGTCAGGTTTCTTCCCATGGAAAGCATGATACAAGCACAACCTCATATGCGCCTGACTACCAAACATCTTCTCATTTGCAATCGCCTAGGGCTGATGATTTCGGTTCAAGTGAGGCAATGCCATCTGTTTTCGTTAACCCAGAGCAGGGGACTCCTCCAGGTACAGGACCTGAAGCTGTGGAATATAGACATTCATATGCTAGGTCAGGGGAATTGTTTTCTTCTGGGAGCCACCAGCATTGGAATACAGAGTTCAAGGATGCCACGGCTGCTGCGCAGGCAGCTGCTGAGTCTGCAGAACGAGCAAGCATGGCTGCTAGAGCTGCTGCTGAACTCTCAATTCGTGATAACTTGAACAGGCGTCAGTCGAGAGATGAATCACATTTGGCTTCTGGGTTTTCACATAGAGAGGATGAACGGCAGCATCATACTACTGGCTCTAGGTTACAAGGTCAGAGGTCTTCCAAGGATCCGGTGAAGAATACATCCAAAATTAACTCTCGTGTGAACCATGAGCAGCAGACTGATGACACTGAAGAAGATGTCCTAGCTGCTTTGAATGAAAGGTTTTATAATCTTAAGGGCCGGTTGGCTGCTACCTCGGATTCCGATGATCCTCCTGAAGTTGTTCCTTCTCTGTCTTTGAGTAACAGGCAACCAGTAGAGAGGCATTCCCGAACGAGCTCGTCTGATTCAGAGAAGAGCGACGTTTCAAGTGATAGAAATATGAGAAGAGCGCCCAGTGAACATGAGGGGGACAGTATTGGTGGCAACATGAATGGTGGAGTAAATCCTGAAAGTTTTGATTATTTCGATGAATCAAGGGTCGAGCACCAGGCTAGTGTTCTTCGTACTCATCCCCATACAGAAATTCCAAGTTTCGATGATAATTCAACCTCAACTTGGGACTTTCATAAGTCAAGTGAAGATGCTACTTCTGAGGATCTTTTTGTCATTGGACAAGCAAGAAGCCGAGTAAATACCCAGGAAAGTTCATCTGATGTTGCCACTGCAGTATTCGATGATTATGGCTCTGATGATGACGAGGCATATAATTTGCATGCTGAGGATGAACTTAATGCCCAACGATCCAATATGGCCTCTCATTTTTCTTCACGGACAAATGCATGGAGCTCTGGGCAGAAGATCTTGTCTCCAAGGAAGTCAAGTTCTTCATCTCTCTTTGCCACTGAGAGGAACCCTAGTTTTGTAGCTTCGGAGGGTTTAACTAACAATGTAGTTCCATCCAAACAGGACGATTTGTTACCAGTGACCTTTGATGACTCGGATGGCCCGAGTTCTGAAAATGAAGAGGATGGTAGTATTTCATCTCAAGTCCATTCCAGAAACCCGGACGATCATCACCTCAATGACAGTTCATCCTTGATGGGATCATCATCGCTTGCTGAAAATGAGAATTTAGGGTACAATAATAGACAGACTTCGCTACGTCCATCTTCAGCCAACTCCCATGAAGGACAAATGCATCATCAGAATATCCAGGGAGTTGGAGCTGATGTTATAAAAGCTGACGATGGGCAGTTTGGCCACCCCAATCCTTCTAGCAGCTCTGCACAATCTAGATCCAATTCAAGTGATGTGAATGAGAAGTTTCAAACACCAGGACTTCCTCCTTCCGCTGGAGATAATGATAGTGATGATGAAAGTGGATCTGGTTCTGAAGGTGGTAAGGAGTTGAACTTTGGATTCCTGGCTGGCGGGCTTCGAAACAAAGGCTATAAACACCCACCTTATCTTAAAAATCCTGCTATCCAAAATCCTTCACCATCCAAACAAGCTGTTGAAGAAGATACTTCTACTAGAAATATTCAAGACACATCCAGTCAGGTACCTCACCAAGAAGCAAGTAGAAGAAGAACAAGCTCAAGAACTCAAGCTAGATCATATAATTTCAGTGATGGTGATTCAGTCAAGGACCCACCTTCGCAACAGAAATTTAACAGTAGTGAAGAAGGCCAACATAGTAACCAGAACTCAGGAGTAGTTGAAGTGAACAAAGTATCCGGGTCTCGAAGAACCTTCTTCGATTCAGATGATAGTGATACCGAAATGGAACTTCCTAAACAGAAATCAGCCGCAGGGAAATCTGTTGCAGGTCAGGCATTTTCCAGGCGTACTAAAGCTGCTGCTGCTTCTGATAATAGGAGTTCCCATCCAAAGAACAAGAGCTCATCACAGTCTTCAGGAAATGTCGACTACGTTGCCCCCACTTGTCAAAGTCCTCCAACATCTAACTCAAAGCCTTCAACATTCCGGTCGAGTTCAGAATCGCCAGTATCCTCTGGGAAGAACAGCGTTAGACCATCTGTCACAAAACAAACATCAAATCCTGCTGCTCCTAAAACAGTTCCTCCAGGAAACAAGGAAAGTAGTGCAAAGGCTTCTGGGTCAGCTGTGGATCCCCCATCCAGAGAAGATTCCATCAACAGAGCAAGTCACGTCCACCCTAAACTACCCGACTACGATACTTTTGCAGCACACCTACTGTCTCTTCGCCAGGATCGCCAGTAAAAACTTACGTGCCAAGTTATTCATTTATCCCACACATAAAAGGATTTACTCTTTCCCAAACGTTATTCTTTCCGATTACTTGATTGTTTCGTATATGGCGGATACAGATAAATCGTGCTTTTTATGTCCTTTACATCTTGCTGTAAATTCCCCACTGTAATTTTAATTTTACAAAACGTTTTTGTTAGTTTGCATAAAGTGAGGCAATATTCATATGTAGTGGATAGATTGAGAATATAATTGTTTGTGGAGAATGGAGGTGATGAATAAAGTGAAGTCATATTTCATGCTTCCCATGTTATGATGATGTCTTATCTACGTCAAACTGCCTATCAGTTTGTACCAAAGAAAAAACCTGGGAAGTACATGAAACCAGAAAAGGGCGGATCTGCTTTTGTCAACTGCTTGCTGGTCATGGAATCTGTGTGGCCCCTACTTTCTTCCTGGAAGTTCTTAACATTTTCTTGTCATTTCAGACAGCACAGGAACTGCATGATCCGAGCTTCGCTCATTCAAGATCGCATTGTCCGAGCCAATTTATACATGTTTGTGCTACAAACAAATCTGTGTGGCACCCTGCTTGCTGTATAACAGATCAAAGGAAGCGGAAAACCAGAGAAGAAAACAGACGCAAAAGATTCCAACTTTGTGTTTGTTTGCAGTTTTGAAAGAGGAGGCAGCCAGCACCATGGAACTGCCTACAAGAATCATACCCAATCCACACCTGTTGCAGAGTGATGATCTGCTCAAGGTACTCACTCGCCTGCTGCAATCTCTGCGTGCAGCAGTGTATTAGATTTAACTGGATGATCAACTTGGAGTGGCTTGTTGCTGTATATCATGGAGACTACTGTGTACCCAAGAGAGCCACAAGTCCTCAAGGAGCTTAGAGATGCAACTGCCAAAGATCCCCGGTACGTATCTGATTAACCAACTAAACTACCCTTTTTCATACAATTTGGTAGTGAATGTAGTAAATGAATTATGCATTAACAAACTCTGGTTTTGGATTTTGCTTGTGTTGAATTCCTGTAAAAATACAAACTTTGGAAGGTCACCAATGGCTGCTGATCCACACGCTTCACAGTTCATGACCATGCTTCTGAAGATGATGAATCCAAAGAGAACCATTGAGATCGGAGTCTACACTGGCTACTCCCTCCTCGCCACTGCCATTTCCACTCCTCCTGATGCCAAGGCAGTGCACTCACTCAGCCAACTCTGCATTTTCCATACTTGCTCATAAGCTCAATATATACTGATCGTCGTAGCAATTGATTTCAGATCACAGCAATAGATCCAGTGCGATCATGGTACGAAATCGGGCTGCCCTTTATCATCAAAGCAGGAATTGAAGACAAGATCGACTTCATTCAATCTCAAGCTCTCCCAATCCTCGATAACCTCCTCCTAGTACGAAAAGAAGGGAGCTTTGATTTTGCGTTTGTGGACGCGGACAAGCAGAACTACGGCAACTACCACGAGCGGCTGATGAAGCTGGTGAAGGTCGGCGGCGTGATGGTCTACGACAACACTCTCTGGGGTGGCACGGTGGCAAAGCACGACGGTGACGTTCCCGATGAGAAGAAAGAAGGGAAGGCGTTGGCAGCTGAGTTCAACCGGAGGATCGCCGCCGATGGCCGCGTCGAAATCTGCCTGCTTCCGTTGGGCGATGGGATCACCATCTGCCGCCGCATTTCCTGAACGAATAATTAATGTAGTTAGTCCTTGGCTTTCCCCTAGCGTTTTCTTATTTTCCCTCTGTTTTGTGATTTTTCTTGCTACTCTTGCATTAATCTCTCTTCCTTGTCAGTTTTCACGCAAAAACAATAAACTGACGCATCTTTCTGCAACCTAATTCGCCCACATAAGGCAGAGGAAAAAACGGGACAATAGCCACGTACCCAACTCATGACTCATGATTCACTTCCCCGCCGATCCACTCAACTCAACAGCATCGTTAACAATGATGGACGAACGAACCAGAACTTGCTCACAAAAATACCATAAAAGTTCCTCCTCAATTTACAGTGTCAGACCAGAATAGAAGTCTTTCATCCATAGAGAACACCGTTTCCTGTCCCTTTTCCACTCTTCCTTTCTATATAAACACAGCAGTTCACCTATCATTCACAGAAAAATAAACTCAGCTACCTGCTGCTTTCAGAGCTAGAAGAAATGGAAGGTGATAGCAGCAACAGAATCATACCTTCTCATTCCAAGGGGCTGTTGCAGACCCCAGAGCTATACCAGGTAATTACCTTTCCTCTTTGGTTTACTTTCGTTATTGGGACCGGTTGGTTTATTACAACTCTGGCTTTAATTGACAGTATGTTCTGGACACGACCGTGTTTCCTCGCGAACCACAACCCCTCAAGGAACTGAGAGACCTAACCGCCAACCATCCTAGGTGCGTAGAAAGTACTCCAACGTTGACGAGTTATTAGAACCAACTAGTTTTTAACGATTATATATGTTTACTTCCTCTGCTGCTGTACGTTTGTTGCAGGGCAATGATGGCAACTGCGCCTGACGCTGGTCAGTTCGTGGCACTGCTGTTGAAATTGACAGGAGCAAAGAAGACCATCGAACTTGGAGTCTTCACTGGCTACTCTCTTCTTCTCACCGCTCTTACCATTCCTCAAGACGGCAAGGTAATAATCAAGAACTACGTTAAAATGATTACACTGCTTATATATATTAGTGGCTATGTGTCATTTTTTTCCATAATATAAATTCATTTAATTAAAATTGTCTTTTTTTTACACAAAAATCAATCTTATTATGGTAACCAAATAACAAGAAGCAGTGAGTTTCAAATGTAGTGGCAAAATACCCTTACATAACCTCAAGATGTTGAATTCAATTCATTGCATAAGTAAAACTTAGATATGTTCTGTGACAAAGCCATGGCGTGCAATGATTTGATGATGTGTTGTTGAATTCGCAGATCACAGCCATCGACACGAATCACGAGTTTTACGAGATAGGACTCCCGGTAATTCGAAAGGCTGGCATCGGTCACAAAATCGAGTTTATAGAATCCGAAGCTCTGCCTGTCCTCGACGAGCTGCTAAAAAAGGTGAGTCGGTAATTAACTTATAGGGTTGAATTTTTTGCAGGGGCGGAGCTACACTCAAGCTAGGGTGGGCCCCGGACCCCCCTGGGATTGGTCCCGGCTCCTAGGATCGTATGAATATTTAGTACATATTTTATAAGTAGAACTTGTTTCGTAAATTTTGTTGTGTAATAATCATGTGGTCTAATGGTAGTCAAGCTTGATTTGTTTTTTAAAGCACACGGATTCGATCCACCTTGGCTACATACATTTTGTTTAATTATTTTCGGACCCCCCGGTCTCGAAATCCTGGCTCCGCCCCTGATTTTTTGCACAGGCCCACCACTTCATATGTTAAAAAAGAAAAACGGTTGATATATGGTCATGATGACTTGAATTTACATGATCTAAAAAACAAATCAGTTCTGATACCATGTCATAAACGAACGGTCTTCTCGATTCTGATTCTGCAGGAAGCGAATGAAGGTAGCTACGACTTCGCCTACGTGGATGCTGACAAGCTCAACTACTGGAACTACCACGAGAGGCTGATGAAGCTGGTGAAGGTTGGAGGGATCATTGCCTATGATAACACCCTCTGGGGAGGCAGCGTCGCTGCAGATTCCGCCACCGTGGGGCATAAAGGTGGCGCCGTCACGCAATCCACGATCCAGTTCAACAAATCGATCGCCGCGGATCCACGTGTCGACATCTCGCTCGCTCCACTTGGCGACGGGATCACCGTTTGTCGGAGGATCTATTGAACTTTGGATGGCTGGTTCCATCTATAAAAATGTCGTTGGGTTTCAGCATTGTTATGTTATGTTATGTATACTACTACTCTTTGCCTACTTCATTTAGACATTTACTGCACAATAAATTAAGTTCAAAATAAAGAAGTCCTCTGGCTTTTTACTCTATTTTTTTTTTTAAGTTGGAAGTGAAAGTGGAAAGAAGGAATTGTGTTTGGCAAGTGCTCCAACAATAAGTTGAAGGTAATGTTTGAGATGTTCATGATGATAAAGAAATTAAGAAAGGTTTGAGATGTTTTTTATAATAAAGAAATTAAGAATTTTCTATAGATCTATTATAATAGTGATTTATATTATTTTCACTCGTTAGAATCGATTAAACGGTTCCGATTATAATCAAACCGATTATCATCCATATTCAGTACATAATTTTTGCAATTTTCTTAGAGGGCTTTACACCTATCACATGGCAGTATGGCACCAAATGAATCTTCTTTTCTTGTTGCGTCCCACACCAAATAAGGTTACACTGCAACTTCTCGAGGGCGTCAATCACAAAGCACGGCGCTTTAAAAGTAGTCTAGTTCACTTATCTGTTTATATTTTGCAAAATAAAAGTGATGATTAGAAAATTACTATCAAATTTATAGAATGTTTAAAAGCTTAAGCTTCGCTTTTGTGTTTGTGGTTTTACCTATCATTTTGCTTTTACATAAAAGCTAGACTTTGATTGCATTAATTGGGAGAGATACATATATGATAGTTAACCACTTCCTTACATTAAGATTTCACAATGACAATCTTTTCTATTCTGTGAGGCAGGGAGGGAGTGAAGGGAGCTACGACTTTACCTACGTCGATGCTGACAAACTCAACTACTGGAACTACCACGAGAGGCTGATGAAGCTGGTAAGACTTGGAGGCAATGTAGTCCAAAGCTAGTTTTAAATCCTAAAATCCTATGTTAGATTTTACCCAAGATACGATAGAAGCCACATACACACATATGTGTGTGTGTCTTTGGTGCACCCACTTTTGTGTGTGCATTTAATGCACTCGCTTCATAATCGTCACTCTGAGCAGGCGATTCATGTGGAAACGATGCAAATCGTCACTTGTGGTATGATGGACAAGAAAATAAATAAATTTGTACGGTTTACAATGGGGTTTTATTCTTACAACAAATTCTACTGTTAGTTTCTAAATTAATTTTATTATTAACCAAAATTCCATTAGTTTTATTTAAAATATTTAACGTGTCATCAATTCGCATTATGAAAAGGTTCTGCAAGGTTAGCTGACTTTGACTTAACAGTCAATCATAACTTTCTAAATTTGATGCTATATTAGACCACACATTATGAAAGATTTATGTAACAACATTCTATAGTAGTTTCATAAGCAACATTCTATAATAGTTAGATAAATTATAAATTCATTCTTAAAATTTAGGGTTATAGGTATAATATACCCCTATACTATGTCGTTTTTATCAAACATGCCCATTTACTATTTTTTACATCTAACATGACCCTGTACTTTGGAACAATTATCAAACATGTCATTCTATTAAAATTTCTGTTGAAAAAATTGTCAATCATGGTTGAACCGAGATTTAGTCGACTCGACATCGGCAAATGGGAGGGAAAATATCAGTTGTGTCCCTTGTTTTATTTCTCTGGGTCTCGTCAAAGTGAAATTATTAAAATTATTTGGCTATACAAAAGAGCAAAAAAAATTAAAGTGAAATTAGTAGGGATATTTTAGACATTTGTGTTGTCGAAACCAAAGTTCGACCATGGTTCACGATTTTCTTATGTAAATTTTTATAAACGGGCATGTTTGATCATTTTCCCAAAGTACAGGGACATGTTTGACGTAAAAAAATAGTAAAGGGGCATGTTTGATAAAACGACATTGTAGATGACCATATTATATCTATAGTGGCCAAGAGGCTCGTAAGAGTTAAAAAGGAAAAAGAAATCTCTGATGCATAAAGTTGCTGCTGAACCAGAAACAGAAAAAGGGTGACAGCAGAATATATCTTCTTTCACTCATGGATCGACTCTGTTTCAGGATAAATGGCGGCACGACAAGTGCCTCCCGCGAAACTTCTCTTCGATCGGATCTGCCTCAAGATGGAGGACCCTTTATTTTTTTCTTTTCCTAGGTGCTGAATTTTGGATTTTGGGTTCTGGTTTATTAAGTGGAAGGAAGAAGGACGTCTGAGGACTCTGTTTGGCTTTACTATTTGACCAAGCATACTCCTGGAGCCGGACCGTAACATTTATTCATTAAAAAACAAAAACAGTGATGATGTCGATGTGAAATCCAGTTGGGCTGCTATTCCTCGGCACCAAAAAAAAAAAAACCAGCATCAAAATGGCATACTTGATCTTGATGTACAACAAACTGAATGAATGGAGATTCCCCCTAAAAAAAAAACATGAACGGAGATTCCATAATTTGTTTGTTGTTCCATGCAGAGCCAGCTTCTCCTTATATATATGCAGGGAGCGTCGCAACAAGAACAAAACCAAACAGCACAAACATGTTCAGGCAAGCCCATAACAATCTCGTCGTGAAACGTGGGGAGCCGGTAAAGGTTTCCCCGCCCCAAGAGGAAACTAAGGAGAAGGGCGCCTTCTCTCTGTCGAACCTGGACCACCTCGTATGCTGGGTGCGTACGATTTATGGGTTCAGGTCCGACGAGAGAGGAAACCAGATGACAGGGGAAGTGTTTGAAACCGCCCTGAGGAAACTTCTCGTTCACTACTACCCATTAGCAGGCAGACTGACGGTCGTCTCCGAAGGGAAGTTGGCCGTGAGTTTCTATGAACAAGGTGTTGTTTTCGTGGATGCCGAGGCTGACATTGCCATGAAAGATGTTGAAGACATGGTGAGGACGGATCCGAGCAAGCTCGTCGAATTGGTCTACGATGATGGCATTCACTGCAATGCCAAGCCTTTACCTGAATGCCCTCTTTTGGTCGTCCAGGTACAATTTATAAGGAAAATTATCAGATATACTTATGTGGTCTCTCTCAATTATACCATCCAATTGATGAATAAATAAAAAAGTTGTTTGTGCATAGGTGACGAAGCTCAAATGCGGAGGATTCGTTTTGGGAATCTGCATCAGTCACTGCCTGGTCGATGGTTTTACAGCGACAGAGGTGGTGAACTCGTGGGCAGAGATCGCGAGAGGACTGTCGATTTCTACGCTTCCTTGTTTGGACAAAAGGACTTTGCTACCACGTAACCCGCCAAAGGTCGAGTTCGCTCATCCGGAGTTTATCGAGATGGAAAACAGGTCACCCAGCAGTGACCAGTTCTCCAAGGAGAACATAGTGCACAAGGTTTTTCGTTTCGACCGCGAAACGATAAAGGAACTGAAATCAAGAGCCATGGAAGACGATGGAAGAGGAGCTCTCTCCAAGTGCTCCACTTTCGAGTGCCTTACAGCTCTCGTCTGGAAGGCGCGAAGCAAGGCACTGAATATGGTCGGAGATCAGGAAACCAAACTCATAGTACCGGTAAATGTGAGGAACAAGATGGATCCGCCATTGCCTAAAGGGTATTTTGGGAACGGAATTGCTTCGGCTTGTACGACCAGTAAGGTCAGGGACCTGCACAACAAGCCATTTTCAACTACGGTGGAGCTTGTTCACGATTCAATCAAGATGATTACAGATGCTCGTGTGCGGTCGTGGATCGATTTTTATGAGCTGCATAGAACTATACATCCTCTGGCTCATACGATGATCGCAACGACTTGGTCTAGAATTCCCTTCTGCACCACTGATTTTGGATGGGGAGATGCTATCCTTATGGCGCCGGTGGCATTGCCCTGTGATGAGATGGTGATATTTATGTCGGATTACGAGAGGGACCAAAGTGGAGATATACGGATTTTTGTGGGTCTACCGGAATCGGCTATGAAAAACTTTCAAAATCTTATGATGATTTAGGTGTCGATCCGATTCGGCTAAAGTGCCTGTAGGCCCGTTTGTAAGAACTTGGTTACAACGCGCCCATAATCATTCGATCGAGTGTAATATGTATTATGATCGCTGGTTGAACGCGATGACAATTTAGAAAATCATCACGCGTTCATTCCAACGATTCGTGGAACATCCACCACAAAATCGAATGACTATGAGCACTGTACATACGTCTTTACAAATGATGCCGTAAACATCATAGTCAAACAATGAGACACTCTTCTTTTCTTTGTTTTTTTGGATTGTTGTTCTTAAGCTTTGTGTCATCTCGAGAGATTTCTTTTCTTGTGCTGGGCCTTTTCATCTCTTTGTTCTTTTCTAGTTGTGTTTTTCCATATTGTTTTTCCTCGAGTTGGCTAAATTATTGAGTAATACTATCATTTTCATTGCACTTACAAGAGATCATTTTGTTTTTGTTTGTTAGTAGATGGCAAATTGTTATTGTACAGCGAATAGTAAACTGTCATTTAAGACTCTGATAGCAATTTAAGGGATGGTGATGGCAACCGTGCATTTTTCCATGAGTCAATAAGAATCAAAACACAACTAGCGTCTTGTAATATCTATTGTTTACCCTATGTATGACAACAACAAAAAAAACACAGAGGCAGCAAATTACAGTAGAGCACAACCGTATAAAATTAAGAGATAAATACAATATATTAGCCACAACTATTAAAAAAGGAAATTATAGTCATAACTATCGAAATACAAATTATTAGCCAAACGTTAAGTCTTTGTTAGCCATTTCGTTAGTAATGTTGACTAAGTTTATACGATCCTGCTGGCTCCCACGTGGCAGACAGTCAGTGGCGGAGCCAGAAAATTGACCAAGAGGGTGTTTTTATCATATCATAAAAAATTACTTATATAATAGAAAAGTCAACTCTAAATGAAACAAAAAGTCAACAACGCAATACTCTAAATTCATACAATTACATAAAAATAGTGTCACGTACACCGGTTACAACGTCAAACAAATAAGTTTAGTACATATAAGTCAAGACTTATATTCATCAAATATTACAAATTAGAACTCAGAAGTACCTCTGAATTGATTTTGTGAAACAAACAAGTGAACTTCAATTGGTACTTCTTCACTTTCAGCTTTGTTTAAACAAAAGACGAGATTCCTCTGTTGTAAAGCTACAAAAGAAATGAGCAAGTTTAAACAACAACATTTTATTACTATAAATAAAGACGAAAGTGCATTGTATAACAAAACTCACTTGGTCTAGATGATAAGGAACTATCCTTACTACTGAATGGTCATTGGTTTGACC